TTGGGTCGTCGCACGCATACTTTCCAGGGACTGCCTTAGTTCGTTGCGTGTTCGCACATTCATTGCCCATAACGTTCGCGTGAGCGTAATGTCGTTTAAGCCGTTGGTAACGTAGGAATTTATTGATTCCTCATCAATGGCGCCACGCCTTCCTATCGCCAGCATTTCATAAAAATATTCTATGAGTGTCTCGTTTGGTCGTGCTGCCAACTCCCGATGAACGTCTGCTGATGTCACTGTATACGGAAAGTCCTTCAATAACATTTGGACAAATTCCGCCCACGATTTGAACACCGGTTGCGCATCTAACCAATTCTTGGCAACTCCTTTCAGCTTGTGTTGAACTGCTAAAAGCACGGTTTCGCTTTTCCAACGGTACACTTGTTGTAACTGCTCCACTTTCGTTACGAACTGTTGCGCTGTCATTGCTTTCCGTACCGGGTCAAACTCTGGAAGGACTCCCACTATTTCTGATACACTTTGCGTATGCACCATCTGCACTGGTAGGCCTCGTTGCGGTGAGGGTTCAGGAGCCTCTACTCCGCCTACCGTTGCTGCTCCCGTTCTTACCGACTCATTTCCATCGTTGTTTCGTGCCGCTGCTTCTGGCTTTAGCGCTAATTCAATAGGTTTTAGGGAGTTCGCCAAACTTAATACAAGCTCTTGCAGCTGGTTGAATGGCTGCTCCCATGGTTCCACCGATGATACCTCCTGCAGTTCGACCTCGTCCGTTCCTAACGCCTCCATAAGGGCTGCTACTTTGTCCTACTTCTTCCTAAAAAAAAACACCACAAGCCTTTTCTTCCGTAGCCTACTCTGTTCATTGGCGTCGTTTTTCCATTTTAAAATCTTCTTCTTCCGCAATTCCCCTTAATTCTTGATTGTTTCTATATGCACTGCTTGCTATCACCCCTTTTCTTTTCTCATCAGTAGTTGAGCGTCGTTGTCAATTCGTTTTGCGTTTGTTTTTCCCTGTATGTGCCTGTTCGTTGCACGGTCGTTGCTGCCGTTTACTCTTTCTTCGTTGAGTCGTTTGCTTGCGTACCCGCCGTTGGTAATTTGAGCGTTTATGTGCTATTCCGCTGCACTTTCGTTGCTCACTTACCCTTTTTGATCGTTCTTTCCTTTCGCATACGCATACGGCGTCGGTATTGTGAGCGTGTGTGTGCGATTACGTGCCCCTCACTCGCTCCGTTTACACCTTCTCCTTTACGTCGAGTGTTCTGCTGCTGCGCCACCGCTTTCGAGATATGTACGTATGTGCTTTGGGTATGTTGCACAGCTTATTTCGTTTTTCTTGTGACGCACCTCCGTATTGTATTAACGTTTTCCTTTGTAAATTTACTTACAATTTTTAACTCCAGTAGGCGTTCTCGATACCCGCTTCTGAATCTGTCAAGATGTTACCCG